TAAACGTAAAAGTTAAATATACTGTCGGTTGGGTCCTTTTTGCAAAAGGAAGTATTGAAAATATCCATTTACAAAATAATGAATGATTTATAAAGTTAAATTAAATACAGCACCGAACTTTTTTTGCGACCCGATATATATATATATAGAAGATTATTATAAAAGGAATAATAATTATAATCATGTATTGTCGAAAATTCATTTTATTTTGCAGTCAATTTATTTAAAAATTTCCCAATTTGTTGTTTTTTTTTTCGCCGGATCAATTTTACCGGAAATTTTTAAAACCCTAGCCAAAATGGAGGTACGATGCCACTATTTTTTTCTAATGCATTTTGGCCTGCTTAACTTAAAGTTACAATACCATTTTTTTATTTGTTTTTTTAAATTTAAAACTTTGCGATATTTATTTGTTATTTTACGTAACATTTTCTGTCGATTTAGGACAAACTCTATAGGGTTCCCTATATTTAAAAATTTTACAGGCAAAATTTAACTTTTTGTTTTATGCAATAAATGAACAATCCAATTCCAGGAAAAAGTTTTTTTAATTGATGCGCCATCAGAGATTTTTAGATGAACGAATGGTGAAAAATTATATTTGTTTACTAATAAGAAAATCATGATTTTCGATATCTGCAGATATAAAAAAAACAGAAAATGGGAAGAGTCTTCCCAATACTAACAAGAGTCTTCCCGTTACTAACATCATACTGTGAAATTCAATATTTTAACAAAAGAAATTCATTAATTTAAATTTAATTTTAGAAAAAAAAACATTTTCGAAACCATGAATCTTGAAATATATTTACAATATATTTATAATAACTGTTGTCTGTTACAGAATTTTCAAGTCCAACATTTTGTACGTCTTTATTGGCATTCGTCCAATAAATATTAATTATATTGTACGAACATTTTGAATAAAAACTCTGTGCTTGGCATCTTTTCTGATTATATTTTCGACCATTCCACGCTTAACGGATAGGACAGTTGCCGTGTTTTTATTTACAAAATAATATTGTTCTATTATATTACCAATGTCAAATTTTTATAAATAAAACAAAAGCTGTTTAACAAGGTTTTTATTTGGCAAAATTAGGTATCGTGATTGACTGTTTAATTCCTTAAAAATTAATAATTTAAAGCGTAACGGGCGGGACTATTACAAAGTCCCGTCCGTTGCGCTTTAAATTATTAGTTTTTAAGGAATTAAACAGTCAACCACGATACCTAATTTTGCCAAATAAAAACCTTGTTAAACAAACAGCTTTAGTTTAGAACTATTTATAAAAATTTGACATTGGTAATATAATAGAACAATATTATTTTGTAAATAAAAACACGGCAACTGTCCTATCCGTTACGCGTGGAATGGCATCAGCACCATGGTGCGCCATGGTGCGCTGCAGCGCACTCTACATCAAGAAAAAATAACCACAACCCAAATTTGAATATTTTTTACGCATGATTTCGTAGAAATTTAAAAATAAACAGAAAAAATATTAAATTTGCAGAAATAGAGGGAATTCGTCCGGTTATAGGAGCTAGTCTTCATCCAAAATTTATAATTTTTAAGACTCGTCAGATACTTTTTCTGGAAAATGTTAAAACTATTTCATTTTAAGAGAGACCCTAGCTACTGGTCAATAGAAATGTCTAAAACACCCATTTGGAGGCCCCATAGAGAGAAGCAAAATAAGTTCTTCTATATTAGTTTTCGAAATACATATAAATATATATATATATATATATATATATATATATATATTAATGCAGATAACTTTATTTTAACATTTGGGTTCTAGCAAATTTTCTTATAAAATTATAGCAAAATTATTTCGTTTACTAACGAATATTTTTTTTATTCAAATGTCAAAATATTCATCCTACACTGCAAAAAATGAAATATGCCGCCTGTGCCGAATTTCTATAAAGGAAAAAACTAAACATATTTCTCTCAAAAAGACATTTGCTCTGGACGAAAATCACAGACAATGGTCTAAGGCGCGTCTATTTTTTCCGCCGTTGTTTGTTAAAATACATAGCAGTAGGCCTTGTTTCTATAACGAGCATCGAGGGTGGCCGTGAAGGGGCGCGACCCTCGCAAATTAAAGGGCGACCTTTCGCTATATTAGAAGCTACCGACAGCCAATCACTTCTGCACCCTCCCGCGCACAGACGACTCGATCTCTTTTCTCTCCTCTCCTTGATTCTGACAAGATTTAATAGTCTGAGCTCTCTGCATCGCGTTAGCTCTGAAAGACCTTTGAGCTGCTACATAAAGATGGCACTGAATAAATAATAGGGTTTTGAGTAGGGTGTGTCTGAAATTTTTCATGGGGAGGATGTTTTTTACAGCTTTTATTACCTTTTGTTGTTTTTTAGATAAAATTTAAATTTTGATTTTTTTTACTTTTGGGTTAGATTTTTTCAAAATCGGGGACGTAGCGAACCCAAGCAGCATTTTAAGTTTAAATAACTACAACTTTACTACTAAGTCAACTTTAAAGTATTTTTTACGGTTAATCAAAACGGTTTTATTACGGTTTAGATACGAAAAATTACCAAATTTGGGGAATGGTTTATTTCGTTATTTTACCTACTTACATAATAACCTTTTGGATCTACTAAGAGAATAACGTAATAAAAACAATATAAATACCACAAATTTACGTAAAAATAACGTTATAATTACTAACTGTTTGCTCTCTCTTTCAAAAACATTGACATTCGTAATTTCTTTGTTCTTTTAATTTATATTTTCGACCATTCCAAGCCCATGGACAGGACACATCAGAAACATGTCTAAATATATTCTTGTTACTTCCTTATGTTTACTTATTTTTTCTACGAGTATTTATGAGAAGTATTAGCCAAATTTTACAGTTTTAAGAAAAAATATTGCTTGGGTAAAAATTCAACAAAACTTAAAACCTACAAAATTTTATAAAATCTTTTAAAAATTATTTAGTTTTAATCATTTTTTAATAACTAAAACTTTCTTTATTATATTTTAGAAAAATATTTATGAAAAAATATATAAATGTTTAGATAAGTAATGGATGCCATCTTAAAAAATTCATTATGGTGACCTGAAAAAAATTTTCCCTTAAAGTTTTATTTTTCACTTAAAGCTTATTTTTCCTTGTTTAGTCAATATTAAAAGTATTTATTACTACTAATAAACCTAAAAAATAACAGGCGAATAGGAATTATTTACGGTTATAAAGTGGTCTTAATATCGTAAAATTATGACTTATGAGTAACATTTACCATTAAGTAAAAATTCTGACGTTAAAATTACCGTTAAATTTTCCTTTAGGTGAAATACACTTATAAGTAATTTTCTTTCGTAAAAAATACGTCCCTCATAATACTTTAAAGTGTTGAAACTTAAGGGTTATTAAAATAGGTAAAAATAACATAAATAAAACTTATTAAATAACTTTAAAAAGTTTTACTTTAAAGTTAATTTTTAAGGTTAATTTAACAATATATTTACTTAAATTAAGTAATATTGCCTCAAAGCTCTACACTTTTACTTAAAATGCTGCTTGGGAATGTTTCGATTAAGGGGGGAGTAATTTTCATTAAAATGCCGTTTTCTTCGAGGTTTTTGCCGACTTTTAAATTCTGAATTGTAAGGGAATTTGTCTGAAGAATCTTTAGTTAAGATCAGTGGTGTAGCTGGAGTATTTTTCGCCCGGGGGTAAAAATAATCCATTATACGAATTCCGACAAATGCATGACTTTTCTAACTAAGTTTTAAATATATGGGTGATTCTACAAAAGTTGGGCAACCTCATTTTGTTTATATAGTTTTCGGAGAAAATTAAACAGTATTTTGTTATGAGAACATATATAATATAATAAATATACTTATCCAGACCGGGCCAGTCACTTTTTCAAACAGTTTTTGAAATATCTGTGTTTGTCTAAATTTGAATGCACGGGAAGTGACGAGTATACCAGGGTACTAATTAAATACATAATTTATTGGAAAATATAAGATTTATTGCAACTTTGAGCATATTATACATTAAATATCTTAAAATCAAATAATACCACGCAGTAGTGGCGGCTGGTGGATTTTGGGAATACCGATATCTCAATTATTAGATATAGGACCCACACCAAATTTATATGAGTTTATAATGACATTAAATAAACAAGTTCTGCGCAAGCAGAATTTAAATTGAAGTTTGCGAAAAAAAGATATCCGAAACATCGAACATGGAACTGACGACACGGCACTGATTAATGGGATACAAATTTGAGATTATAATTCGGAATTAAGTATTTTACCGATATTTTTATTAGTGGATGCTACTTATCAACAAATCACATATAGCCTTACATAAATTACAATGAAATATATTACGTAAGAAAATAACTACTCACCACAGTACTGAAATTTTGACTGGATCTATACGTGCATTCACCACAACTTCGCCGCTTGTATTGTTTTCAAGATGACTGTCGTGCAAAGGGCGGTAGGTAATTTTTTACCAACACTTGAGTTAAAACGAGGACTTGACGTTTAAACTTCAATATTTCGCAGGAATTTTGAATTTTAATATTGGATACAGAACTGACGGGTAAAAGTGAGTACAAAGATTATAAATTTTTAAAAAATTGCTATTATTCGAATCTATGATAAAATATGAAAAATACATTATTTAATGTTTTATAGTTTGTAGTAAAATTAAAAAAATTAAGATAAATTGAATATATTTTAAAATAAAACCACTCAAATATTTGATTCAGGAGTTGTGACACGCCAAGGTACTGATGTTTTGAATATTTATTATTGAAAAAATACACTAAAATTGGGTGGACAAGTGAAAAAAAACCGGGATCTTTTGTAATATACTAAAATATTTACAAAAAATATAAAAATACCTACTCTATTGACTGATGACATGAAGTTATCCAACTTTTGTAGAATCACCCATATTCAAATTTCATAAAAAATAAAACAAAATTCTTTTTTTCAGTTGCGTATGACCAATAACATCCATGGACATCACGGCCATCACGGTGGAGTTACTTCAAGATGCCATGGACCGCCAAGGTAACAAACGTCAAAATTTCATACTTTTGTTTGTTTTTCTTTCATCAGGGTTTCCTTGCTTGCATTGTTAGCTGTGTTGACAGAACACGTGCAATAAGTTCGCACATTGACAACTGACATTTTCCTATATGTGCAGCTCAAAGTATTTTCGTCAATATTTGTCAAGGGATTTGAACACAGTTTCTTTACGAGTGCAAATAAAAGGCACTTTAATAATTTATAAAAAAACTTATTTGTGTACAACTCGCCTCATAAAATTAAGTAATAAATCACCTTTTCAAAATTCCATTTTAATGACCTTGAAGTTCTTGAATGAGATCTACCTTTAAACCCTGTAATTAACAAGACATTTCAAGTTAAATATTTTCATTCTTCGAAATACCTTAATAAATTACATTTTGCCCGAGAACCAGATCATTTCTTGCCAAGTGTCAATCTCTGTTTGTATTCTTAACGTTTTATAATGCTAAATTTGCTTTTGTCGGTGATATTATCAAACAGAGAAAAGGTTCCATTGAAAGTTAGACAACTTTAAACATATCAATTTCAGTTACAAACCCCCAGCTATAAAACCCCCATCAAAAGTACTAAACTAGGTAGTTACGCTAGATGGGCGACTGTAGGTCTTTTAAAAAAGTGCTTTTTTACATTGTCAAAGTGTCAGTACTCAGAGAGATCTGAACAGTAGCCGATATATACAGAGGGTGATTTTACCTGGCCATTTTTTGTTGACAATAGGTATACACACCCCTGTGCATGTCAAAATCTCGTATCACGTTTCATTAAGGCAGATTAGGAGTTGTTAGGTAATTTAATAAAGCAATATTTGGAAAATTCAAGTGAGAAGCTGAAAATTTGCTGGGATCAAAAAGCATTTTGAATAAGCTTTCAAAGAGTCCAAAGAGATAGCTGAATTCTGAGCAATTTCTGTTCATCAGTCAATTTGTTTGAAACAAACAAACCGTGGAAGTAGGTACATTTCGAAAGCCCAATGAGATAAATTAATGCTATGGGTGGTTCTACAAAAGTTGGGCAACTTTTGACCTCATTTTTTTATATAGTTTTCGGAAAAAATTAAACAGTATTTTGTTATACCGATATCTCAATTACTAGATATGGGACCCAAACCAAATTTATATGAGTTTATAATGACATTAAATAAACAAGTTCTGCGCAAGCAGAATTTAAATTGAAGTTTGCGAAAAAAAGATAACCGAAACATCGAACATGGAACTGAAGACACGGTACTGTTGAATGGGATACAAATTTGAGATTAAAATTCAGAATTAAGTATTTTACTGATATTTTTTATTATTGGATGCTACTTATCAACAAATCACATATAGCCTTATATAAATTACAATGAAATATATATACGTAAGAAAATAACTAGTCACCACAGTACTGAAATTTTGACTGGAACTTTACGTGCATTCACCACTACTTCGCCGCTTGCATTGTTTTCAAGATGACTGTCGTGCAAAGGGCGGGCTCTGTAGGTAATTTTTTACCAACACTTGAGTTAAAACGAGGACTTGACGTTTAAACTTCAATATTTCGCAGGAATTTTGAATTTTAACATTGGACAAAGAACTGCGGGTAAAAGTGAGTACAAAGATTATCAATTTTTTAAAAATTGCTTTTATTCGAATCTATGATAAAATATGAAAAATACATTATAGTTTTATAGTTTGTAGTAAAATTGAAAAATTTAAGATAAATTGAATATATTTTAAAATAAAATCACTCAAATATTTGATTCAGGAGTTGTGACACGCCAAGGTACTGATGTGCTTTTGAAAAAATACATTAAAATTGGGTGGACAAGTTAAAAAAAACCTGGATCTTTTGTAATATACTAAAATATTTAAAAAAAATAAAACAATACCTACTCTATTGGCTGATGACATCAAGTTGTGCAACTTTTGTAGAATCACCCATATTCAATTCAGGAAGATTAAATGAGGAATCAGATTTCTATAATATTCTAAGGAAATTTAGTCTTCTTGTGCTGGGACTTGTTTCGTTTCATTATTAATGGCATAAAACATTAAGAAAAGGGGTGACAAGGGCGACACATTGTTCGCAGGTCATTCGAAACAAATGTGACGACTATAAAAAAGGAAGGGTAGGTCCGGAGAGAAGAATTTGAATAGACTTTGGATGTGCTTTTTAAAATGCGAAACGATTTTGCCAAGGTCTCTATACTATATATTAACATGTTAACAGATGTCGGGAATTATTTAAATTTAATGCGCGTTCAATGAATCATTAATAAAACACAGAAAATTTAATGACTTTCTTGCAATACGAGCGGTGACTAAAATATATTATACATATGTATGTAATTGTTGACTTCGAAAAGGATGTGAGTGACTAATTTTAATTTCATACATTGGACATTTTGAAATTTATATCTATTTAAATTAAATATATAAATTAATTCATGATAATTATATCCGATTTTTGTATACCCACGTCATTATTTTGATAGATTTCAAAGAATTTATATGCATTTAAATATTTAAAAATGTTGTGGTTAAAATTTTTAAAATTAATAAAGTTGTATTATTTAAATAAAATCATAAAACTTTTAATTTTTTTATGTCTAAAAAAATTGTGGGGGGTTAGTTTTTGTCCCAATGTTTAATAAAGCTAACTTCAGCCCAGTGACTAAAAAGCCAGAAAGCCAATACTGCTAACTTTAGCCCGTGCCTAAAACGCTATAAGGCACGAGCGAGCTTGCGAGCGAGTGTTTAATTAAATTAGTGTCTGGAAAAGTTTATAAACGATTTGCATACTATACTTTTTCTACGACAAATACTTATTATAATATTATCTAAAAAATTATTTAAATTAAATATTTGTATAGAGCGACATCTAAAACACAAAAGAGTAACCTACTTGAGAATCTGTATTATATCAAATGTCAAATTGTGTAAATCGAAATGTATCCCTTGAAAATGGACCGTTTAATTCGATATAGAAGCAGTTTTTCATAGTGAAAGTAAAGAAAATGTTTTATTGGCACTCCATCCGAAATTTAGTTAAATCTAGTTTACTGCTGGCGAAATTAAAAGGTCAGTACAATGTTCATATAAACTTTGCAAATATTGGCGTTGAGAAATTACTTAATACTTTTGTATTTTTGTATTGAGATAAGAAAATAAATTTTACTTTAGTATTATTTGACAAGAAGGGCACTTTATTTTAACGATTGTATGACACTTGACAACTGCCAACTAACTTCAAACTAACTTCAGCCCGTGACTAAAGCGCCATATATGCATAAAAGCTTGTCAATGCGTATTTAAAAGATGGAAACATGGCGTTTTAAAGGTTGGAGTAAAACATTGTATTTTATGTAACACGTTTTATAAACGCCATTTTAGTTACGAGTTTCATTGGGCACCAGCAAAGCTTGCGAGAGAGTGTTTAACAAAAACGAATGCCTAAAGAAGTTTATAAAAGGAGTTGCATACTATACATATATCTACGACCAACACAAATGAGAATTAATAGCCAATTTTGATTGTTAAATATTTGACAGAATTTAACCTCACTTATTCGCAATTATAATAAAGCTAACTTCAGCCCGTGACTAAAATTCCCAAAAACCATAAAGTCACAGCTAGTCATTGTGGGAGTAGATAAAATAAATTAAATTTAGACCTTCAAAAATTAAAACATTTATTTCTTTTTCAGGGGAGAAAGACGTCTAACATAGAATGTGTCATCAAAAATCCGAATTTACAAAAAATTTATGTGATATTAATTTTATTTTTAATGTTAATGTAACTATTATTATGTGTAAGTAGGTATACGAATCTATATATATATATATATATATATATATATATAGATACATACAAGTATGTCAAATTTATGCATGCAAGTTTTGTTAGTCTAAATAAATGTTGATTTGTCCAAAAATGTCCATTACTTTTAAGAAAACATGTATTAACCACGGCGCGCCGTACAAAATTTTAGTTTTTTTGCCCCACAAAACATATCTTAATGATAATCCGTTCCAGGCAATAATAAATTGTAGAATTAGCTACAGTGTGTATAGATATTATTGTAACATTAACCAACCCTTTTTGGAAATAAAACTATGTCTCTACTTGCACACAATATTATTTTACCCTTTTCCCTAAATCGGTGAAATTACAAACATGTGTCCCATTTATTATTAACTTGAGTTATGACTTCACAGATAAGTTTCTGCAGCGATTTTTTTGGTTATAAACACGTGCACTGCTTTTTTATTACCCACAAGGGATACAATTTTGAAAATGTGTTTAGTTTTATATGGTAAGTAGGATTTTTGATGAGTGTCACAAATTTACGCTGTTGATACAAAATACCGGTCTTCCATTATTAATTGAATTAAAGTGGCCCCAAGACCAGTGCCTTGAGGGACTTCCCACAAAACCGAGATTTTTTCCTGTTTTTAATATCCAATATCATAAAGGCAACATTTCTACCTAGTAGATTATTTGTAAAAAAAATCTTGAATTCACTTGTGCAATTTTTTGATTTTATCATTTTCTGTATACAAACATGTTTCTTAATCTTTTAGATATAAACATTCTCAATTTCTCTAATCTCATACCTGTTTTTCTTATTGTATTTTAATCTTTCTTTTGTTAGACAAACTGCCGATATTTATAATTTTTTTTATTATGTGTGCATTCCTTTCCTAATATTTGGCCTTATTTCCATATTTAAAATTCTTAACAGCCGTATTATACAAATTGCCCCAAATTTACGTATTAACTCTAAAATTAGAAGTCGTTATTTCTACTTTAAGACTCCATTGAGCCTGAGTTAAAAGTGTTGTGACTACTTTAAACACTCCTCAGTAATTATTTGTTTGTTTTCCTCGAAAATATCAAAGGACCCGGCGCAAATCATTGTCTTGATTGTTTTGACAAGCTTTTTCTCCAGGGACAAATGTCAGAAATAAATCTCACACTAATGGTTCACCAAACACGGATGTGTGTTATTGATAAAATAATTTGTCCGAAATTTATCTGTTTCCTACTTTGATAATAATAACCACAAAATTTTTATCGGAATGGGAAATTTAATGTTTTGTGTTTATTAAGCGCAAGAGGGAAGTTCTAATTTAGGGGACAAAGAATTTCTTAATAAACCGAGGATTATCCAGGACTAAACTGCCAATTAACCTAGCATTAGCGTCATTAATGCACGTGTCATCATGGGTGGTCACGTGACATCGAATACACATCGCTTACTGCGATGAATAAGTTGTTATATGCTTCCTAGTTTTAGTTGACATGATTTTTGATCAGTTTTATTTACTATTTTATGTACAGTCTTTTTTGTATAAATGTTATATCACCCAAATTATAAAACCTAAATTTAATATGGTTACAGAAATATTTACTTCCCTCTTTTATAACCCTTGAGTTTATTTGGGGAGTTTATGACGGTTATCGTTACCTTTGTTTAGGAACACTATAAAACTCAAGTTTTATAACTAGAGGTAATAGAAATATCTTAAAAACCACCATATAAGTTCTTAAAAAACTGTTACTGTTTTTTTCCTTCTTTAAATTTGTAATAAAAATTTCTTCTTGCGCTTATATATTAAGGGATTTGTTTAAACCACATGGTATATAATTTATATCCAAGATTTACTTAATACTTGAAGTGCAAATCATTTATATTGTAAATATATGTATATACACATCAAAAAAGGAAAACAAATATTTTTCAACTTTTTACGTTGGTTTGGTTAATTGCTTAAGTTGTTTTTGTAATTTACATTTATAAACATAAAAAACAATCATGGCGGAAATAATGTATGTAGCCGTCTTATATTGCTCATGGAAATTTTATATAACCACAAGGTATTCGATAAGTCTTATAGTGGTATCAAGGTTACCCAAAGCGTTATTATATAATTTTAAAACTCTTATTTAAGTTGTAGTCATTATCGTTACTTCAAGTGATATTATAAAACTTTTGATAGGCAACCATATCCCCACTCAAAACTAGTGTTGCCAGGTTCGCTATTTAAATCTGCAGTTTTACTGATTCAAACCTAATTTCTTTCGCTAAATATTATAGTAGATTCCAAAATAATTAATAATCCACAATTTTTATTAAACAAACTACCCAAGCAACACACTTTCATCTTAAAGATGATCATTAGACGTCTTCGTTAGATATCTATAGATGGTATTGTTCAGATTGCAGATCGGCATCGAAATGTCCTCAAGATAGACGTATATATTAGGTACGTCATTATATCATTATAAGAGCATAGGTCTAAATTTGATCTTATATAAGTATTGCTTTAGATGATATATACATATATAGTTTTAATATGGACCTCTTATCTATGTATTTAGGAAATATCTATATTTAGAATAGATTAAGCAGAGCAGAGATCTAAAATTCATCTAAATCCTTTTTGTTTTAGATGAGTATATATGTAGTCTTATTATGGACGTCTTCAGTCTAAAATGAGCCGAGGTCTAAATTTAATCTAAATGCTTACTTTTTTTAGATGAATATATATGTATGTTTTATCTATGTTTTTAGGAGATGACCATATTTAGGCTAAATGCTTTTTTTCTTAGGCCAGTATATCTGTAATCCTAATATAGACGTCTTATTTATGTTTTTAGGAAATGTTTACATTCAGGATATAGATTTAGCACGACAGAGGTCTGAATTTAATCTAAATAATTGTTTCTTTAGATTACTATTATAGTATATTATTATTATTATAATATAAGTATACTTATACAGTCATCTAAAGTAACAATTATTTAGATCAAAGTTAGACCTCTGTCGTGCTCAATCTATATTCTGAATGTAAACATTTCCTAAAAAAATAATACGACGTCTATATTATAATATAGACTTCCTATAGGATAACAGAAATACTCGTCTAAGAAAAAAGCGCTAAACCTAAATATAGTCATCTCCTAAAAACATAGAGGAGTGCGGGGTACATTGCTTATGCAAGAATTCTTGTAAGAAATTCTACAAATATGAAAAGTCTTTTAATAAATTTCTATCTTCATATTTTATTTTCAATAAAAGCCAAATAGTTTTATATTAAATAACAAAAATCCTTAAAAAAAAATAACAAAATAAAGTAGCAAAAATAAGTTCTATATATGTATTTAACAAAAACAAAAATTATATTCTATTTTTGGTATCCCTTTGGTTTCTTTTAAATATAAGTTACTTTAAATATATATTATTAATTATTTTTATTTTTATTATAATTATAACACTAGGTAACCAGGCGTAACCAGTCATGAGTAGCTTTTATTATGGTGTTAGGGGCCGTTCATTAATTACGTGAGACAATTTTGGCGATTTTTCGACCCCCCCCCTCCCCCTTGGTGAGATGTCGTGAGATTTTGCTCGACCCCCTCCCCCCCCCCCTTAATCTCACGTGAGATTTTTTAAAATGCATGGTTTTAATGTAAATAAGTTAATCTGTGCTTGATTCCATTAGATTTATTAAAAAAAACTTATAATTGTTTACTTAATTTAACCCAGTTTTCTCGCAATTTTACACTCTTTCTTTCGAAAAAAAAAATTACGTGATATTTGCCGAGACCCCCCCCTCCCCCCACGTGAGATTTGGTGAGGTTTGGCTCGACCCCCTCCCCCCCCTAAACACCTCACGTAATTAATGAACGGCCCCTTATCCGTTAATTCAGCTGACGCGTTTATACCGTTGTTGATAAAATGTAGAAACACAGCATCTGAAAGGAACAAGGTTACATATATGTTAGAGACAATTGTGAATTTCATACCCCCAAGAACTTCTGACGTTTTCGTAGATTTAAAGGCCCTCATTCCATTATTTCGCGCTTAGTTAAATCTCTTGGCAACTTTATTGGCAAGCAAATATTTTAATCCATTCATGGTAGCTGATCTCAGGTTGGTACCTTCAATAGCAGCTAATCTTTTTTTCTGTTGATAAACGTACTTACAGTGTGTTAATTATATCATCGTCATTTATATAAGGTAATTAAAATAAATAAGAAAGCGGCTTACCACATACGCAAATTTGCTGGGATGCATTAGTTCCTCTTACAAATTGCTTGAAATCCGATCTTTGTTGAATTGGGAATGTTGGCAAACCAATAGGCCTTGTCAATTGCTTCACCTTGTTGTCTAAAAGATATCGAAGTATGTAGTCCAATTTGACCGTATTTTGATCCTGATGTCTACTCGAATGGAGGCATCTATTTCATGTGTTAAAATGATCTATTAGAAAGATCAATTAAAAAATGTGTTTTTTTGACATAAACAGGAAAGGCCCTTATTATTGTAAGTTTTCAATATACTTCGTTTCTGTAGTACAACATATGGAATCATGTTATTATTGGAAAATTTTCCTTGATCTATTAAAAAACGTAATTATCTACTTCGGATCTACTATGGATGAATCATAGAGTAATCACTTTTCTTTTCTTAATAATAATAATAAATTGTTAATTTATTGCTAACAGCAGACAACAGAAAGATTGAGAATAAAAAGACTAAAATTCAGTAGAAAATGATATTAATATTAATTTAGCCCCATTACCTATGTAAAAAAAAATTGTGCGGACATTAATAAAACAATCATCTATTACGGATCTATTAGGGATCAGTTATAGAGCAATATAGGTATTAATACTGACTTAATTAAATAGGTGAATTTTCAATACATTGAAAAAATATCTTTATTTCTAACGCAAAACCTACGAAGATGGATTTTTATTAGAAAACCGTATGAATCATACGTTATTATAGTTTATTTATTGGCAAAAGGTAAATATCTGCTCCATCTATTATAGATCAATTATAGATCCGTCATCCAAATTCAATAAAATGTTAATAATTATAAATGTAAACTTACCTAAAATGTTGTGGACATATTCACAGCACAAAAAGACAAAATTTATCACCACCAAATATAAAAATGTATCAAATTCACCAACTAAAACTGACATTTACATTGCAGCGAACTCAAAAGTAAGCACGCGAAGCCACAGCGAACAAAGGAATGAGATCGACCGTGCGCGCGCAGGCAAAGTAGCGCTAAAATAAACATAACCTTAACTTTTTGTTTCTTTA